AAAAAAAAAAAAAAAAAAAAAAAAAAAAAAAAAAAAAAAAGAAAGGTAAATCTAAAGAGAACTAGTGGATTTTACCCTAAAGAGGATATAACCTAATATCTCATGGGGCTGCTCGTGGCCTGGGAGACGTGGGACATCACCTCTGCAGACACCAGAGGAGTGACCTGGGGCCTGGAATCTGCCAGGCTGACGGTGAGGCGAGTGGACGCAGCACAGAGAGGGCGGGGGTCACCCAACGAGGGTCTGAACAGGGGCAACAGCAGGGGCTCTAAGACCAGGAGCCAGATCTCAGCTTCTTTTTCTTTTAGATGAAAAAGTTTCAGGACTGTGAGTGACCGGATTTGGAGGCTGAGGGAGAAAGAAAAGCCTAGACTAACATGCAGGTGTCTGGCTTGAGCAACCGCGTGGGTAGGAGCCGTTTAATCAGAGCAATGAACACACGCGCACGCAGATGCGCGCACACACACAAACTGAAGAGGGGAGGGTGGGTGTGTTTGTAGGAGAAGAGAGATTCAGTTTTGAAGACACTGACTCTGAGGTCCTGGGAGAAGTCAGCACGGAGGCTGTTATGGCCGAGGAGAGCACGAGCTGGAAAAGGAAAAGGGGAGGGCTGACAGGAGGGTCAAGGGCAGGTCCCTGGACTTGCAGGCGAAGGGGTGGAAAGGAAGACAAGGAGGAAGAGTTAGAGACAGCAGACTGTCACACAGAGTGAAGGAAGTCGGAAAGAGAAAAACAAGTATCGTATGCTAACGCGTATATGTGGAATCTAGAAAAATGGTACAGGTGAACTGGTCTGCAGGGCAGAAGTAGACACAGATGTAGAGAACAAACGTATGGACACCCAGGGGGGAAGAGGGAGTGTGGGATAAACTGGGAGATTGGGATTGACATGTATACACGAACATGTATAAAACAGGTAACTAATGAGAACCTGCTGTATAAAAAGTAAATAAATAAAATTAAATTTAAAAAAAAGTTAGAGTGGCAGAGAATTGAAAGAAAGGGATATCACAGAAATGAGGAAGGGGGATGTGTTGTAACATGGGAAATAACTGCCACTTCTGGTCTCCGGTCCAGCATATAAGGACCCTGGAGGGCACCACTGTCCTAACGACAAGTAAAAAGCTGAACAAACTGAAATCAGCAACTCTTCTTAGACCCAGCAGAGAAGTGAGGTCACAGAGCAAATCGCTGTGCCCCAAAATTGGAGAGGCAGGCAGGCAGATCCAGAGAGCCACAATTCACAGGAGGCTCCAGGGGAGACGAACACCGAGGTAGGAAAATAAACTATAATCGACAAATTGAGAGTTACAAATTCCAGGGAGGCCCAGTTTAAGGGGGGAATCCCTATACCTTTATGAGTTTTCCCTCCAGGAGCCCCACCAGGTTCTCACAGTGAAGATGGAGAACAATTCCCCCATCTTCCAGCAGAGGAAGGAAAAAGTAGCCATTATGAACTACACCAGCACGTTCTGCTCTTCTTAAAAAGGTCTGCCCTCCCGAGAGACTCTCTCACCAGAAAGAATATCCACCTCACCCCCTTCAGCCTTCCCATCTCATCAAAGCGGAGGGGACTGGAAAGCACTTGTGAAAGTCGCAGCTGAGACGCAGGGCCCCTAACAGACTGAGACGTAACCACAGGCCTGCAGATCACACGTCCTCCGCCCACACGTCAGCACCACTATCAGCAGGGCTCCCGTAAAACAACACGGGACACAACCCAGGCCTGCAGGTCCCAGACCTTAGTTAAGCAGAAGTCCCCCGAGAAACCCAAACAGGGGAGACAAAGAGCGCACACACCAAAGGAGAGCTACCTCCAGCCCCAGGGTTAGTGCAAAAGCAAGCAGAGCCCGCTCCTGGCCAGAAAAATATCTAACCTCACACCAAAGCCCTAGTTACCTCAGCTCCTTTCACCCAGTATACCATGTCCAACCTTCAACAAAAAATTTCAAGTCATGCTAAAAGACAAAAAACACAGTTTGAAGAGAAAGAACAAGCACCAGAACCAGGTTCAGATATGTCAGAGATGTTAGAATTAGCAGAGTGAGAATTAAAACAACTGTGATTAGCATCCCAAGCACTCTGAAGAAACAAGTAGAAAACATGCAAGAAGACATGGGTAAGGTAAGCACAGAGATGGAAACTCTAAAAACGAATCAAAAGGAAATGCTAGAAATTAAAGCACTGCAAAAGAAATAAAGAACACCCTTGATAAATCGTCAGTAGACTGGATACAGCCAAGGAAAGGATCAGTGAGCTTGAAGAGACGTCAACAGAAACTTCAAAACTGGTATGCAAAGACAAAAAAGAAAAACAGACACAGAAGAGGATACCCAAAGAATTGTAGGACAATCACAAAAGGTGCAATGCACACATGTTGGGAAAACCAGAAGAAGAAAGAGAGAAAGGAATTGAAGGAATATTTGAAGTAATAATGACTGAGAACTTTCCACACTGAAGACAAACACCAAACCACAAATCCAGGAAGGTCAGAACACCAAGTAGGAAAAAACAAAACACAACACTTAGGCAGATCATATTTAAGTTGCAAAAAATCAAAGACAAAGAGAAAATCTTCAAAGAAGCCAAAGGGGAAAAACGTCACCTCACCTAAAAAGCAACGATAAGAATTACATCAGACTTCTCTCCAGAAACCACGTAAGAGGAGTATGGAGTGAAATGCTTAAAGTTCTGAAATTAAACCCACAAACCTAGAATTCTGTGCCCAACAAAATTATCCTTCAAAAGTGGAGAAATAAAGGCTTTCTTGGACGAACAAAAATTGAGGAAATTTCTCACTAGCAGGCCAGGCTTATAAGAAATGTTAAAAGAAAGTCTTCAGGAAGAAGAAAAATAATGTAAGTCAGAAACCTGGACCCACGTAAATAAAGGAAGAGGGTTAGAAGAAATAAATGAAGATATTAAAAAACTTTCTATTTCTTCTGTTTCATATTTGTTCAAAATAGCAATGATGTATTAGGTGATTATAGCTTATGGATAAGTGACATAATGACAGCAGTGTTACGAGGGACGGGAAAGAGACCTAGGTGCCTGCACTAACCAACAAGCAGTGAGTACTACTGGGAAGGAGACTCGCACTGCTTGTAAATGGATACTGTAAACTTTAGGGCAACTACTCCCAACAGTGAAAAGAGGAGAAAAGCTGGAATCATATAACGTACTCAATTCAAACCATAAAAGGCAGAAAAAGAGTGGAAGACAAATAAAAGAAAGAAAAAATGATGATACAGGCAAGAGATAGAAAACAGTAACAAACATGGTAGGTTTTAACCCAATAATATCACTAATCACTTTAAACATCAATAGTCTAAATGTAACAAGTAAAATGCAGAGAATATGAGAATGGATTAAAAAACAAGACCCACTATATGTTGGCTGTAAGAAACTCACTTTATACAAAATAAACATAGTAAAGCTACAACAACACAGCTTATGCATAACCTAAAATATGTACTGACTTGCCTAATGCCCACGACACCTACATATGGTAATCAGGCGACGCTCCAGGAGACAATTCAGCTTGGAGAAAGTAATTTAGGTACAGAATATAGGCTTGTATAATACTCCACATACAACTTCCACTCTGTATACACTAAATGAAACTATTATCAATGATGAAAAGCAAATGGTATTCATTTGAAATGACTGAGAACAAATGCATTAAAAAGTAATATAGGCCTTCCCTGGTGGCAGAGTGGTTGAGAGTTCGCCTGCTGATGCAGGGGACACGGGTTCATGCCCCGGTCCGGGAAGATCCCACATGCCGTGGAGCGGCTGGGCCCGTGAGCCATGACCGCTGGGCCTGCGCGTCCGGAGCCTGTGCTCCGCAACGGGAGAGGCCACGGCAGGGAGAGGCCCGTGTACCGCAAAAAAAAAAAAAAAAAAAAGTAATATAAACTCCCTGTTTTTAAAAAAACTCTCAAATAACATCCCCTGGCTCACCAGTCCCACCATCTAGAGATAACCACTTCTTGTGTATCATCATTTTATCTGTGTAAGAAGGCTTACGCGCG